CGTCGGTGCCCTTTAATCTACTGCCCTAGTTTTGTTTTTAGTCGAATCAACATAACACGTGCGCGTGCGTGCTGTAGTTGCAATGATGAGCTAAAAACCGATAGTCGCAGGAGCTCGAGGGAATAATAACAGCATCGGATAATTATTTGCTCCTGATAGCGGGCATGTAAAATTTCTTGTTACTGTACTTCCATTAGCAGAGGTGGGTACAGGGGTCAGTGTTACGGTGTAAGCTTACATGGGGGCATATTGTTTTGTACATTAAAAGCAAGACGATGTTGATGTACTAATTTGTTATGAGTTTCCCTTTATTTTACAAAAGTGCCTTGGTGCCCTTCTCAAACTTTGAGAGTTGCCTTGGTGCCTTTCTATTCTAGAGAAAATTCAAGGCGATTTCTCACATGCCCTAAAAAAATTGCCTTGCCCTTCTCGTCGCTTAATTCGAGCCCTGATATTTGTAAATGTTTCTTCTGTAAACAGAAACGCACCGGAGAATTGAAATAGAATGTTAGTGAAGAGAATTATAGATTAAAAACCTAGACTAGTACTATCCTAACTATGTTATATATTGGCAACTTATCACCCCTCTTATCTGATCTCAATATGGCAGCGGGGACTTTCCGATATGGCTTATAGGCGAGACCGTCGCTTGTTTTAAATGTCATGAAGTGTTGTACAAATGTTATGAGATTTTAGACATATTAGATAATATTAAACATATTAGATAATATATATTAGCCATAGGACTTATGAGATGTATTAGATTATTAGATTATATTAGACATTAGATTGCACAAGCTTGAGCATTTTGTGCATTGTTTGATATCTGCGCAGTTAAATATCAACTTAGCATGCTGAGCATTGTTTTTAGAAAGACATGTCACAACACTGATTGGCTGTAAACGTGCATGTTAATTGTAAACGTAATCTTATCGTAATACTTAACGTAATCTGTCGTAACTGTTTATATCGTAAACGTATCAGAAACTTGTATTGTAACGTGCCAGACGTGACGATGTTTACTAAACGTTTTTCTAATCTTTGAATGCAGGCACGTTGTGCGACACTTCCATCGGCGGTGAGGCGGCGCCACTGTCAGCCCGCGCCCTCGCCATCCTACTGCCGTTCCTCGTCATCTTGCTGTGTCTGGCCGCCGTCGTTATCTGGAGCGTCTGGTACGTGCGTCGTAGTCGCAAGATGAAAGGTAAGTACCGGCCATCCGTCGCCGAGGAGTCTCACGGAGTGCCCATCCCCATGACAACGGTGCCTCAGAGCAACGAGGAGCGACTCGTGTGATGCTGTCGTCGTTGTTGCCATGGAGACCGCCATTCTGCCTGGGTGTAGCGTCAGAAGCAGCCACTCTTTCTCCGCAGATCGTCGGAAGCTGGATAAAACGTACAGGATGCTTTAAAGTTTAAACCGTACCTCGTCTCGTCATGTTTTCGTGTGTTTTCATGTGTTTTCGTGTGTTTTCGAGGTCAATCATCATATTTTTGTAAATCATTTTTTAATACGAGCCACGGCCATGTGGCTGAGTGATGGGAGTGATGGGAAATCACTCTTGTCTATTGCTTGCCATGTAGTCGCTGCTGGTAGTGGGCTTTCAGTGGTTAGTGAAGTATGGTGAGGACAGGGCTTCAAGCTAAGCAGGGTAACAAGTAAGAATCACTGTACGTTACCGCGAACATCTCTTGTGTTCTCACTGCATTATATTTAGGCCATGGCTACGCGTCCGGTTACCGGACGCCCAGCTCCCAGGCTATGCGTCTGGTCATATATTTCTTATGTGAACCCAACTATATTTTTCCAGTAAAAAACTATAAACAATAAGTTTTACTATAATATCACTTACCATTAGGTATTTTATCAAAAAAATGTGTTTTTGTAATTTTTGAAGCAATAGTAAATCCAGTGAAATCAACTATTTGAAAGGGGGCGTGGCCTAATCGTGACGTGGATTTGGGAATTTGTGCTGAGTTTTGTAATGGATGACCGGACGCGTAGCCACTGCGTTATATTCATACTTCCTCAATGCTATTATTGGCAGAACAGCTCAGTGATTGTTTCACTGATGTTGTGATTGTTCAGCTGAGTGATTGTTTCACTCAATGTACTGAATGGTAACTGTTGTTTCATTTTGTACCGTCAATTTTAAAGTATCAGAAAAAGGACATCGTTAAATTTGATATTCAATGAGCAGCAGCTGCGTACCTGATTACTTGAACAGATTCATATAGTTTTTGTCTATATTTCTATATTTTTATTTCTTTGAATTTATTTTTATTTTATTTTTTCATTTGGTCGTAACAGGTTTTTAGATCAGTATTTCCCCTTTTTATAGATGGTCACGATTTTTCATATATTTATTTATTTGAAAACATTTATTTTTTCAACAGCAATAACATTCCTTGCATTTTAATGGCGATGGTACAATACTTCTAGTGATATCAGTGATAACAGAATCTCAATAATTCAGGTTTTAGTGTTCGTATAATCGTTGAAGTTTAATGAGAGCCATACTCTGAGTGTATTACTCATATTTCTACAGTCGTAGATGAGCATGACTGTGTTATTTTTCTAGACGTTTTCCCGCAGGTGTTGGTACTTAATAATCATTTTGTGATGTAGTGGGTCTTATATACTTGTTACACAGCATTGACCGTGTTATCGTGATAATTATTGTTACTTCATCGCGTAACATTCCGTGTAAATAGATTCACGATGCAGTACAATTCGTAATGAGCGGAATTTGCATTTACTCGTAATTAGGACCGTAGAACGCGTACCGTGATTGGTGGAGATGTATCATGTGTTTGCTGACCAGTTAGTCGATTGGCGTTTACAGAATCGGGCAGCAATTGTGTGATTCTAACATTTGACCTTTGACCTTATTGTGTAATGTGACACGTCAGGTCAGTGTGTTTAATTCCGGGTGACGGGGACTATATATTTTATAGAATAGGAGTTATTCAATTTATTTTATATAGCATCCTACATGTGAAAATTCTGTATCTATGTTTTATTTTATGCTGATATTGGCAACTTCGTGTGAGTTAATGTATACCACCACCTATCATGTGATGGCTTTATATATATATACATACGTGTGTTTCTACGTGTGAATATGTGTGTACGTAAATATTGACAGATATACCCTAAAGTCACTAAACTAGGCTAACCTAAACATAATGCATTATTATTATTATTATTATTATTATTATTATTATTATTATTATTATTGCACACCTAGAGAGACATTGAGTTTTTTTTAGCTAGTTAGCAATAATGGAGTTGAGTACTCGAGTAAGGAACCAAACTCTCGAAACATTCGTACGTAACGACCGCGTATGAATGTTCTATATATAATATTTCATTATAGATATATATGTTCATGGTACATGTCATATATCTGCACATTTCCACCTCAGGAGCGCATTCCAAGTTGTATTATTACGTATTGTAATTATTATTATTATTATCAGCATGAACATATCTATATACAATGTATGCGTGTGTGGACATGTATGGATACAATGTATAGATATGTTCATGTAATTAGTCCAGACATTACTCTTGCCTTTCCCAATGCAGTGTCCAGCACCTGGAAGTGTTTAGAGTCTTCAAATCGAGTTCATCTACTATTGTCGACCTTTTAGTAGTGTGCTTGACTACCTTACAGTATTATTGTATTGGTATTTATTGAAAATCATGATAGTAAGCGTGATTGTGTCGTCGTGCTATACATATGCTATTGTATGCTATACATGGATCCTGGGAGTAATTGTACACGCGCAGTCAGTGCCACGCACACATACCCCGTTTACACAAGTAAATCTGAGACGGTTTGGCTTATTAACAATATAGCGAACATGCAGTTACAGGTACTCAGAACACACAAGTCGAATTGCGTCTCTAAATTGACTTGGCACATAACATTGAGTCGATTTATTTTTTGACACTGGGAAGTTTCAGCTCGCTATAGTCATGCAGTATAGCTTTCGCCATGACCATGTCTATAATAGGTATAGTTATGCCCTTATAAGATGTAGATATGTTCAGGAGTGAATAAAAACAAGCAAACTTGAGTTCATTCCTTATATATCGTATAAACGTGCCCATGCTTGCGCGGTAGTACATAGAGCAGTCGTCTACATGAGTGGAGCTGGCTTTATTAGAGACTGTCCATGTCATCTCTGCTGGACTTTCTAGCGGGAACGAGGTGGAGTAAGGTGCAGCAGGGTGTTTTGTGACCCTGCATTGTGTTTTAGCGTTGAACGATAGGACGAGCGTCACGTGAAACAAAAATTAAATTGTGATGTATTAATGATGTTCTGTGTAAAGGTTGGTAACCATGGTAACAATGTTAACAATGGGAGTTGGAGTGCTAACTAACTCTGTGCAAATGAGTTAGCACTTTAATCTCCTGCACATGCTTTTGGAGAAGAAGATGTAAAGGTGTCAGCAGATGGGTGCACGTGTGTAAGTTCAGTAGCACCAGGGGTGTCACCATCACAATCAGTATCATCACTAATTTAATCATTTTTAACAATTTTCTCAAACTGACATTTGTCATTTTGTCGTATATATGTACATCATGGCAACACGTGTGAGTGACAGGTGGATGCAGACACTATAGGTGACGAATGACTCGCAGCTGTTGGCTGCTAGCATCAGCAGTGGGTTTGCCTAAAACTTAAGGTTGTAGTAAAACTGTGAGAAACATTCCATCCAGTCTCTCTGCGGATAATTTCAGTATTTCAACGACAATTGAAGCCAGGTATTCTGCTTTTATGATATTGATATGATTAACAACTGATTACCAACATGGTACAACTACCGGTCTTCCTAAACCTGCACCTACAATAGCGGCTCCTTATCTGCCATGCTATCATTCCAACAAACCGACGTGTAAAGTGTTTGTGATATCTAGTCTCGGCATTATATTGAGTAGAGTTTTATATGTCCTGTAGGTTTTTAAGATGCTGCCTCTTAGTCTTAGTTGCCAGGGACATCTCGCTATATCAGCACGAGTATTACTTTTCTTGGCCAGACTGCAAGCAATATCAATAAGGTTTGATAGCCCCTGAGAGTTCATGAAGTGCACACTACGACTGATCAAGTACCACTGAGCTCGGCCTATATATATATATATATATATATATATATTAGGGCTGTAACGATCCACCGAAATCGAATCGAATCTTCTCTTCCCTCGATCCGATCCTCGATATTTTTCCCCGTATTTTCGGTTCCACTTCGATACCACTTTTTTTCCTCCAATAGATGGCGGCACTACGCTATATACTGGGGAGTGTTACTCACCAATGTTACTCAGCGGCTGTGCAGTGTATATATACTCTCTAGACTCTCTAGTCTTCACCATTTAGTATTCATTGGCAATTTCTAATAATTTATTATTGCAAAATAATGAAAATATAAAAAATAAGATAACATTTCAATATTTTGGGAATCGAATCGAATCGAGAGGCTAATATCGAGAACCGGATCGAATCGAGAGGCTTGTGTATCGTTACAGCGCTAATATATATATAGGCAAGTGGCAAGTACAAGCTGAATAGAGGGATTGGGTTATGACCTCGCTTCATAGCTAACCTTGCATCTCCATCGTATTGACATGGCAAATATCTCGCGATTGCAACATGGTCCATCCAAACCCCGTAATCAACTCACCGGCGTGGGAGAAGGATCGCGAGTGAGTTACAACTATATTTTGTTATTGATACCCCTAATCTCGATCAGTGATTCAGCCACAGTTGTAGCAGTGCCATGAGAGGGTTGTCGTGGAGACCGGTCGTCGACTGCCAACATAATACGTTCCCCACACCCCGTCCCGTGTCATTTTGGTACCTCGTGCTTAGTTACGGATGTATATGTAAATAATCAGGGTTGATTACCACATACTAGCCAACGATTAGGGATAGTATTAACCATTCTAGTGTTCTTCTACAGCTAGTTTGGGAGGCATTGTGCAGCTAATGTTAAAACTATTCGATGTACAAGTAAGCGCATCTGGGTTGTTTGTGATTTGTGCTACAAGCTGAGATATTGTAACGTCTGTTTATTTGTCATCCAACTATACAGTGTAACTTCTCAATCAGGTGTAAGAGACAATAAGCACTCTGTTAATTATGAACACAGAGTAGCGTAAGCTGAATGTGACTCGCTAGATTCTATGTGTTGTGTAATGTCTGTCAACTTACTTTTATACATCAGTGGAGATTTTGTAATAAAGTTTTCCATGTTCATGTTGGTGAAATGATGATATTCGATATATCAGACAGCTTCCAGTTTTTCTGTCGGCAAGAATCGTTACTAGCAAATTTAAAATAATTTCACATTTATTAAGTTAGTTATATTAGTTGGTTACATGACTGAGATTTTTTTGGCATTTTTGAAGCATAATTTTAACCACCCGAGCACCAAGTGCAATTCAAGCAGTCATAGAATACGATAAACGATTACCCTCTAGCATTGCCCAAGCTCGAAAAGCCAAGCAATTTTTAAAGCTGACGTGGTACGAGCCAACTCTATGCCACCTATTAGAATCTGCAAACCAAATCGTTTGCAATGATAATTGCAACTAATTCAGTCACATACCGCACTGGTTCTCATTGCGTTGGTATTACTTCAGCACTGAATAACATTAATAACGAGATTTGACTGCCAAATCTGTTGAGTCATAAATGGAACAGGTGCAAAATGGCAAACTGAAGGTAATGACGCAGATTAAAATCAGGACAGAAATCTGTCAGCGGGCGTGAATGAGCACAATGAGCACAATAACAGAGCACAATGCATCGTCTAATATACAACATTCTTATAAATATGTGTCCTTACTGCTTCTCCACACGGTTTATGTACATAATTCTTCGAGTGTCAAAAAATCATTTACGATCCGATGGGACTTCACACATCTGCCACCAGGGAATCGGAAATCCCCAATTCAGTGTAACACTAACAGTACCCTAAATATATTCTGCGCATCATATCTCCTAACAGGTGTGCATATACATACGCTTGTTGCATTCTCTGTCAGCCAGCAGAGCCGGTGTGTTAGTACTTGGAATGTTGGATGTGTGGCTGAGGACGGCTGTGGTTCCACCGCTCTGCTCTGCCAAGGCTACGACACATGCAGACTAGTTAGAATCAATGACATTGGGAGATTCTTAGCAAACAAACATCCATAACACACCATCGTATATATATATATATATCACGAGTTAATGAAGACAAATTAACTCCTTGTTATCCTCTTTGTCTTCATTAACTCCTGATATATATATATATGTATATGTATATATATATATTGAGACAACAGTGTTCATCCTCTCTTTCGCTGATAGTGAAGTAACGCAACCACCCACTGATGTTAATGATTAATTCAACCGTAAAACTGGCAAGATGAATAGCTCTGGTCACCCATTGCTTATAGGACATATATAGGTGGGTGAACTCGCGACAATAGCAGCTTCCCAACTAAAACCACGTATTGCCAATCGAGTGCCGAAATAAGCGTGAACAAAACGTGGAATCTCAAAATTAGCTAGCTCTTCTTTGAAGCAACAGACAAAGAGTATACATCGTGCAAATAGCCCGTCGGATACATCTCTGAGAACTACACTGTTAACGGCTGTAACACACCTAACCTGCTTCAGCAGAAACCCAGTCTCACTCCCACTGCTTCTATGTGGAAGCACTAGCAGAGAGACGTCGAAAGCACTGTACGGGAGCAAACAACAACCACGCACTCCACGAGCCAAATCCCCAAAACGTTGCCAGAAAATTACGAAACCAGTAAAACTGGAATTTCGAACGTACGAACTCCTCCCCAAGAATTCCGAATTCTGCGGCCCTAGGCCCACGGACCGACACCCGTGCGTGGCTCTAACGAGTCTACTCTACTCGATCTCGGCAATGAAGACCATCATCGCCACGCCGACGAGTAACGCAAGGATCTCCTTCACCGACTGCCAGAACTTGGTGTCTCCCAGCAACTCGGGGATGACGGACACGGTGGCAATGTAGATGAAGCCGCCAGCGGTGAACGGCAGAATCCACGCGACCGCCGCTTCACCGATGTTCTCAGCGAGCAATCCCATGATGCATCCGGCCAGCGCGCCGGTCGCTGTCGTCAGCTGCAGCAGCATCGCCTGCCGACGGGGAAAGCACGCGAATGTGATTCACCATAGGAGAGCCGGATTACACGGAACAATTGACACAGCAAGAAAGAAAGAGATAGAGAAAGGGCAGAGAGGGATGGAGGGAGAGATGAAGAGAGGAAGTGAGGAAGGGTGAGAGTGAGAGAGATAGAGAGAGATAGAGAGAGAAATAGAGGGGAAAAAGAGAGAGAGGAAGAAAGACAAGGGAAGGGAGGGGGAAAGAGAAGGGAAGTGACGAAGGGAGGGAGATAGAGAGAGAGAGCGAGACTGTTAGAACCAGAGATTGCTAGCAGTCAGTGCTGCCTTGCCTACCATCTAGTTTAAAATTCACATTTTTGAAAAATGTGGTCGGATTTAATTATTTATATTAGATTTTGATTCCGAGATAAAAATTTTAAATAGTTATTACTTATGAAGTTAATATTATGTATACATGGGCCTAATATATACAGTTGCATTAATATTATTACGTATTAATGAATGGAATAAACACGCCAACACGCATCCCTCTCGTTCATTGTCTCGGCAGAGTCACCCTACCTTTTTCTTGGAACATCCGGACTGGACTAGGATAGCGAAGTCTCCGATCTCATGGGGAACCTCGTGGAGGAGTATCGTGATCGTCGTGATGATGCCGACGCCGCGGCCAGCGAGGAACGATGCACCGATCGCCAGGCCGTCGGTGAAGTTGTGCGTGAAGTCAGCGGCCAGGTTGAGATAGCCGGATACTTTTATGTCCTCACTTTCTTCAGCTAAGGAGATACGAGAACATCAAACGCGTTAATGCTGCCGTACTTTTATTGAATTATATGGATAGTGTGTCGTGTAATTTTATGTGGTGCCGTGTTTATTATATCCCCACCCTCACAATTATATTCAATATTGTGTTCTGCTAAAGTAGTAGTTGCAGTAGTACCATTACTAACTAGTATTCACTAGTAGTATACACTATGTCAGGGGTAAATAATGACAAATTTTGACATTAATTCACCCCTCACTATGTTTAACTATGCAAAGTAGAATAATTTAGTGTTGTCCAGAGGTTTCACTAGAAGACATTACACAGCGAACTCAGCCACCTACTTTGGTTTGTAGGCCAAGTATTTTATATCCCGGCCAGGCGAGACTAACAAGGCTGCGGCTACCTTACCATCATTTTATCTCTCCTCATACTCATAGGCCTAGAACTTTCTAAACAAAAATATACATAGTAATGCCAATGGTTGTCTAGAATTAATTCCACTCTGTAATAATCACTTCGATTATTACTTTTATTATCATTAAATCTTTATTGTATGTAATTCAAATGCAAGTACATGTACTTTTTCATGGAGAAAAAAATCTGATAAATGCAATAGTGTTGAGCAAACAATGATAAAACTTCAAAAGTACCTGCTTTCACTTTACTCAGTTTACTGTTTTTTCTGTCTTTTGTTTTGTTCTTTGCATTTGTGTCTCCAGTAGCCCTCTTCTTTTTCTTGTCACTATCTGTCTCTGAATCCGAGCATTTTGTCTTTGTCTGATTGGGGGCAGCTTGATTGGAATGTCCATGTGAATGCCCATGGGCTCCTTTCACATACCTGGAATTCATGCAGATCAATCTCAATTTATTAGCATTTAAGCAATATTAAAATGCACCGGTCCAGTGGTGAAATAATCATACTGTTAAGAACTAGGAGGAAGTGAGGGAGCCGTGGGTATCAAATCAGCCTATGAGAATTGATTAGTTCAATAAATAACAGCTATGACCAATTACGTTCTATTATAGAATTCAATGAATTAATAACGTGCAATTATCCGATTTGACGTGTAGAAATACATTTGAAGACAGCAATCACATGAGCAATTCTGGTTTCCTTGTCTGTGTAAGATCATGAAATAGCGTAAATAAGTGAGGCTCTCACACAACCTCCATGACTGGTTTCTTCCTTTCTATTTGATGCTGCTTGGATGCTAACTGCTATAACTTGATTAGATTATCTTAATTTATTTTCGTTAAATTGTATTTTGTATTTTAATGTTTCTAAGCATTGATGCTTTACCTGACAAATTTCTCAACCATTAGGAAGGCCACGATTCCACCGAGCACCCACAGACCAACTTTCATTTCATTTCCATGGCCTCCACTGGAGCCATCTTCTTCGGAGGCCTGATTCGCATATATAGCATGCGGTATCAAGTGCAAGAATGCATCGCCCAGCAATCCACCCGACGCGAAACTGAGCAGGATTTTCAGCAGATTTTCGTGACCATCTTTGTTGTCCATTGGAATGAAGAAGAGTATTAGGAATGGCGCAGCGCTGATGAGCAGGGTGGCTCCGATCGCGCTTCCCCACATTGTGATCGTGTCCTGTTCGCCGCCCGGCGGATCGAACCGACGCGCTTGCTTCTGTGCACCGTGGGAATGTCCATGATGGCTATGACCGTGATGCTGGTGGGTGTGACCATGATCGGAACCTCCTACACGCTCCTTGTTATCGTGAGAATGCGCATGATCGCTGTGCGTATGCTGATGATGATCATCACCATGGGGGTGAGGTACCGGTTCGTGATCATGCTCTACGTTAGCCTCCTTAGACCATTTGTATGAAGGATTTTCCAAGTCTCCCTCATCGTACTCGTCGATGTGATCTTGAGCAATAACGCTGTGTACGGTAGACAGAATAGCGATCGTGGTAATTAAGAGAAATAACGCCGATTTCTTCTTAAACAACAACTCAAACTTTGCCATGGTCGCCGCCATTTTTCCAGACGTGGCTAATGAACAATCAAGCAGGTGGTGCCATCTGCTGATTGTATTTGGTGATTATTATAGATGGCGGTGTAAATAATCGTAAATAATCGTAAAAAACATGTTGATAAGTTTGTGTTCATTTGAGAGCACGTATATTGATATACGTGCTCTGGTTGACGTAATACATCTTATAGTAGAGCTGTAGATGTTCGCTGCGTGAGGTAACCTAAAATAAAGTAAGCAAACAGTATATTACAAGTCTAAAATCGGGCACTGTTAGTGTTAGTGTTACCTAGACCAATAAATTGTGCCCTAAAAATTTTTATATTCTGGTGTTATTTTAGGTTGTTTTCCTAAAATAACACCAGAATATAAAAATTTTAGGGCACAATTTATTGGTCTAAGTGTTACCATTTGCATAGCCATAGGCATAGATATAGCTCTAGCCTCTAGTATTAGTAAGTACTGTAGACCAGGGCTCGAATTAAGCGACGAGAAGGGCAAGGCAATTTTTTTAGGGCATGTGAGAAATCGCCTTGAATTTTCTCTAAAATAGAAAGGCACCAAGGCAACTCTCAAAATTTGAGAAGGGCACCAAGGCACTTTTGTAAAATAAAGGAAAACTCATAACAAATTAGTACATCAACATCGTCTTGCTGCACGTGCACGTGTTATGTTGATTCGACTAAAAACAAAACTAGGGCAGTAGATTAAAAGGCACCGACGGCAATTACACAAAAGGGCAAGGCAAGTGACTGCCGTCGGTCGGGTTGGATTTTCAGGGGCAGTACGGCGATTGATAGGGGCACCGACGGCAATTGCCGTCGGTGCCGTCGGTTAATTCGAGCTCTGCAGTGGACAACGCTTGGGTCTGCACGAGTGCACATATTTAAAAGTGACCCATTTCCATGAGGTTGGCTCTTTCAGGCTTTTTAATTATCTTAAGAATTTTTTTTTCAGGTGCAGTACTGTGATAATAAACACTGTGATATGTGTCTACTGCTGCTGTTCATCAATCCCAACCCCCGGCCAGGTCAATATCGGTTAATAGTTGCCAGCAACAGAGATGAGTTTTACGGCCGCCCATCGAAAGCAGCACATTGGTGGGAATCACATCCGGATATTCTAAGTGGTACAATTATGGATTTGTATTATATATTTACATTTCATTAAACTTAAACAGTTTTAATCAAACTAAATTCATGATTTCAGTTTAATGCAATTAAACACCTAAAATATTCATAATAATATTGTCATAATTCTGAAAAGAGTTTTGTCTGTGTTGTAAATTCAGAAAAAAAAGTTTTCAGCCAATCTTGACATTCAAATATATAGCTCACATAGCCTCAAATGTAAAAACATGTATGCTTACATGTAGGCACTGATCAAGAGAAAGGTAAAGAGGGAGGAACATGGCTTGGAATGCACAAATGTGGCAAGATGGGTAAGGATATGAGTCATTGAAATTGCCAGTTCGAAACTGAATCATCATGACTTGCAATGATAAAGTAAATATAAAAACCATGTATTTTGCTATCAAATCAAATATTGACTTTTGATGGCTAGGGAGGGTACAATTTAGGTTCAACATGTGTTTTCATTTTTTATCGATCTGCAATTCCTTGTAAACTTTTTCAAAATGTGTTCCATATATGATATCAAGTTGATATATGATAGCAGGAGTAAGTATTACACATGTCTAATGTAATAACTGCACTATGTAGTCATAATGATATCATTGTTCTGTCAGGCACAAACTTATAACATTTCATGTCCTAACATTTTTGTTATATGGATGCAAAATGTACTGCATTGTAATCGGTGGTAGCGTGTCACTTGTTATGAAAATACCAATATATTTCCCATGGGAATATCGGTGTTGTCCACTGAGCCGTGCTGCTATCTAGCATTTATAACCACTTTCTCACCACGAATGCCTCCCACGATATTATGCGGCAAAAGCAGGTTTGAACGACCACTAAAACGTCTCTCCTAAAACGTAAAGATAGTAAACCCTAGAATGTGATAAAAAAAATTGCCTGTCGCATAGTGTCACTGCTCATTTGCTCACAACAAATTGTCAATCCGAATATGGCAGGAATTTTAAGCAATTTAGCTTTGTTATAAAAAACATAATGTCTCTGTTCGTAACCGAGCTGTGTCATGCGAAATCACACAAAGACTGACGAAATTCTCGCGTTCGCGAACCTTGCCCAGTAATGGAAATGGCTGTCAGCCGCAACACTGCAACGTTTTTGCAACGTTCCAATGGCGAGGCTCGTACGGGAGTTGGAAAGCAGTGCGCCGCCTGCGCGCCGCCTATAGCCCATAGGCTTAGCTTAGTCACTCGATGGGTAATCGAGGTGGGAGTGAGTCCCAGTCTATATAGCCTTTGTCCTTGCAGCCATTTCCATTACTGGGCAAGGTTCGCGAACGCGAAAATTTCGTTAGTCTTTCTGTGATTTCGTGTGACACAGCTCGGTTACGAACAGAGAAATTATGTTTTTATAACAAGTGAACACTGTTCACGTCCCAAATGTCTGCCCTCTGTGTCCCCCACTAAAATTGTGGACTGTTCGCTGGCAGCTATGGATGCGTGCGCGCGGTCTAAGCATTCGGCGCACGGATCCATAGCTGCCAGCGCTGCATACTGTCGCAGGACGTTCCCGCGTCGCGTGCGCCTTGCCGCGGACTGCGCGCGAAGATCTGCGCTCAGCACTTCGGGTCAACACCTCTTTTCGGCAACGCTTCTCTAGTATCCCGTCTCATCTGGATGTATGAGGCTACAATGTCACAGTGAAATTTCAAAAGCTAAATTTGGTTAAAGAAGGTTTATGCTCCTTAAATCGTATAATTCTATGGCATTCTGTACTGTCAGTGTGTTAATATGCCACTGCAGTGCATGTGGTGATGATAGTATGGTGTGTTTTTGCCTGCGTTAATTAGGTACAGGTGGCAGCTCTCTATTGCAGCCTGTAGGAGGGTTAAACATTGATTTGTTTCTCACTGCGTTGGCGAGTACCTGTGGTTGTGGAACGCTCCCATTTTACAGTGAAATTCCACACATAACTCTTACTTGAACAATGCTTACTTAGGAGATAATGAGATGAGATATATATGAGATTCTGTAGTGTACATTATGAATAGTTGGAATAGTCACTAGCACTCAAATAATTACCCAGGATGAGGCTGTGGATTTCCCAGACTTAATTTTCTCATCAAATTTTGGCACCAATATAGACGCAAATGTGTACGTTTTGAGCTTATTCGGTCCACTAATCACTGGCATACCTTGTTTTGTTTTTGTTTTAATAGGGTTAGGGTCACAATGCACCATAAACATTAGTCTCAGGCACGCGATTTGTATCAACCAATGGAATTTGGGAGTTATGCAGAATGCAGAAGGTTGCTGAAATGATGTGTACGCAACTGCGTATG